CGGTTGGTGACACTCTACATATATTCATAATCCGCCACTACACGGAAAACTACTTACATTTATTAAAATGAATTAAGGATGGAAAGCCAAAATCCCTTTTAATTCGCTATCCATATACTCACAATTTGCATATTAAATTGAGTTTTTTAAAGAAGAACTTCTTGTTTTTTATCCGTTTTCGCTATCATAATTTATCGGTCGAGATAGAAACTAGCCAAAATCTTTGGGAATGTTACACAATAACATTGGGAAAAGTACGGAAGTCTGATCCGTTTGACGGCATAAGATGGCGCCCTAGGGGGATATAAAATAAATTATATTCTTCAAAATATGGTGTTTTCGACTGCACGGATGGCGTAGTGGTTTAAGCAGTCACCTCACCGATTCCTGCTGCACAGTGTTGTGGACTCGATCACTTTATGTGATCCACAAATCGTTGTTCTGAGTCTGGGACTGAAGTGTCCGTTTTCAAAGGTTTTCAAGTAGAAATACTCGTCTTGCTAAAGAATTGGGCCCATCTTAATCTGTGAGGTAATTTGTCAGATTAGAATTAAATTTAATTGGGATACCGTTTCTTAAATCACGTAAAACCCGTGTGATCGTGACAATCAGAGGGCAACATGAGGTATTGGGAAACTTCATCGTTTGATTAATTCACCATTTATCAGCATAAAATAGCACAATTTGGCAGAACGACTTAGGTCAGAAGAGAATGAAACCAGTACATTAAAGATTAAAATTTGTATATTGGTACTTCGTATATTTTTTCATTTACATTTTGAGTCGATAAGAATTAATAGTTAATCGTATAGTCTTAGACGATTTTAATAGTAATTATTATATATTTTTTTATAAAGAACAATACAAACGTAACGTGTCTGAATTTTTTATATATTAAAATTAAAATATTTAACAAATACTATATAGATTATTTTACTATAAGTATAAATAGTTTTTTATTAATTTAGAACATTTTTTATTGAACAAGTTTCTAGATACACAGTACAGGATAGTCACCTATTAGTTATATAATTATTTTATTTAAAAACTTTCTAAATATTTTCACTAAACAAGAAAGTAATGGCATTAAATTGTTTTTATACAAGATTTATTTAAAACTATATAAAACCTGCATATAATGGAAAACATTTACAAACTTAAATCATTTTAGCTCAATATAATAATTACTTTGACGAATAAAAAATAATTATTTAATAATTTACGCATTCGTACAACACATTTTTTTAAGTGCTGCAGGAACAATATCTATGGTTTTGAGTCGGTTTCCGACTTGAAAATAGAACCCCACAAAACAGCTGGGCTCGTGCTGTATTACGGGGTTCCATATTACCTATAAAATTGTTACTCCGGATTAAAAATACTTAGAATATTAAATTTTATAGTACTAAATTACTCTAGAACGAAATGCAAATAATATACACACATTATGGTAATATAAAAACGATTAATGCACCGTAATACTACCATTATTTCACTCACACTTTGGAAGACTATATGAAACATTAAAATAGTGAAAAATTAAATTTATGAAAAAAAATCTACACAAATTCTATTGCTTTTGAATTCAGTACGTAATTAGTGACTATCAATTATTGTTTCTAAAAATCTACATATATAAATATATTTATAAATGTAAACGGCAATGGTGTTGTAATTTTATTAATTTTACTTACAATTAATTACAATACTTAATTATTAATAATTTCTAAAATCCACGAATCTAGTTTACATCGATTTAGAATTAAGTTCTCGTTGTTGTTCATTATTAATAAATTAATTTACAAGGTTTTCGCAATATTTATTCAGAAAAAGTTATTTACAACGTATTTATGCAGAAAAAAGTATTCTTTTAAATCTATTATCAGTCGTAGGTAAAATTTAATAGTTGATAAAATTTCAATTGAACTGTTTAAAGAATAACTTAGAGCATTTTGATATAACTTTAACGAAGTAGTATTGACTTTAGATATAAATAAAACAGAAATAAACATGCGAATTGTTTAACTATAAATATTATATATCTACTTATGCTAAGTGGAAAATTACTAAGTTACAAATTCACGGATAAAATATTACTTATATATCATAAGATTAGTAAAATTTACAGGAAGTATTTGGTGTTCTTTTTATATAATTTAATATTAAATCTAACACAAAACTTAAGCTATATAAATACAATATTTACATTAAAAAACTTATAAATTAAACAGCGTCCCGCGCCGTCAATAAACGTTTAAATTTACGATTTTTTTCTATATATTTTTTTAAATTAAATCCTTAAGAAAAAAATTAATTCATCTAATTTTTTTTTTTTTTCAATGAGTGCATTTTATTGTTGTTTAGTGCTTGTCGATAGGCACAGAGGCACAGTCATTTATTATTTATTTTAGATAGATTTAACCTAGCAAGGAATTGTTGTGAAAGTATTTAGAAACTTAATTTACGATGGGTCGAAATGTAATGCTGCTAAATTATTTTATATTGTTATAAAATGTAGGTTATATATTTCTTCGATATGAATTATGAAAATTTTAATTATATAGTCTGGAATGTATTCATATTATGTTAATAATGATGGATTTTAAGATTCAACTTAATAATAGACTTACTTTCACAATAATTTCAATGTGCTATAATATCGTATCTTTAAAATGATTATTTTATTTTTAATTTAGGAAACAGATTGATTTATATTTTTTTGTTATTTTATTTATAACGAGAAACACTTTGAATGTTATAATAATTATAAAATAAATTTTATTTTAAAATATAGTTATTTTTACGTTACATCAAATAATTTTGTGTAAAATTTTATTGTAATGTCGTATTCGTGTGTGAAATAATGTAAAGTTATTGTTTTATACTTTTTTTTTAAATTTAATGGTGGTTCTCGCCAATTTTTTGAAATTTAATATTTGTGATTATTTGTGTTTATAATGATAAATCTTAGGAATAAATATAGCAACCAATTTTACATGAGAACTACTAAAATTTCACTATTTTGTACGTATATAAGCGTATGGATAAGTCTTAAGAGGAGTTGTAAAAGAAATGTATTTATGTTAATTTATGTAAATATATTGAGTTAAAAGCTATATCGTGAATATCTAGCGAGTTGAGAAGTTACTAAGACCTTTCTTCACTGTGACGTAACATTTAAAAATATAGTTTCACCTACGTTTATAGTCACTGCAAAGCCTCTTAGAGCTGATTTGTGATGTTTTATAGTCTATATTAATACGTCATCCAGTAAAAAAATAATTAAAGAATAAACTGGAATAATATTTAATGAGTAACAAGTATTCATTTAAGATTAAATTCCACAAAGTAGGTGGTACTGCAAACGCATTTATCATCTTACTCTTTTTCTAAATTTATTTGGGGTCGGTGCAATGAGTTTTTCTCTTTCATCTACCTCTATCAATCGACATATCACTACTAACTCCCTTTCTAACTTTAAATAATAGAATGTTAAAGCGTGAAAAAGGATTACGAGTAATAGAGGAGAACGGACAAAGAAATGTCATTGCACCGACTGCAAATAAAATTTGGAAAAGGTAAGGAGATGATGACATGTCAAAAATTAGTACTAGGTACTAATAAAAAAATCTATTTATTGACCCCAATGTAACTAAATGTTACTTCATCTATAATTTATTTGTTTTATGTTCGAAATCTTTAAAAAAACAAAAAGAAAACCTAAGATCAAGCAGTACAAACTTTACAGCGGTTTAAACAAAGTCGCTTTACTACTCTGTCTATTCATTAACGATCCCTTAACCATGCATAACCCCAGGGAAGAGAGGGTTCCGACCGGGGCACTTGCCCCGCTGTTTCAAAATCATAATATAGTACTATAAAATAAAAAAATTAAAAATGTCAAGTCGTCTCGTAAATAACGGAGTTCTGAGGCAAGAAACAAAAAATGCACCCGCATTGAGACATTATTACCATTTTTTTTGAAGTACGAGTAGGTTCAAAAATGTTTGAATTTATTATTTTTAAATGTTACGACACACTGCACATAATATTCTAATGACACAGCTAGCCGCTAATATTACAAAATCTGACGAATTTAAAGCTATGCAATCCCTTTACCGTACGCTAAAGGAAACATTACATCATAAATATGTATAATTTTCAAATCCGTTAGTGTGTTTGCAGTTTTAATTTTACACATTAATCTATAACTCAACTACGTATATTAAAAATATCTACGAAATTAAATATACAATGGTTGTATATGTAGTTTACAATTTACAATTCCTTTGCAAATTAAATATAGTCACTTCATGGCTAATATGTTTAATAAATAATTATTTATTGTTTTTTAAAACAATAATATTATATATTAGTTTATAAAAAGTATTTTAACGCACATTGTTGGCATTTTATATAGTTTAACTAAGCTAAATACTTGTGCAATAGTGTACGCGTTGAGAGTACGTGCACAAATGTCCTCCAAATCGTGAGAGGTTATCGATTAATTATAATTACAGTTTTTAACATGAAGTGACTATGGTATTTCTATAGAACGCCTAAAAAATTTAACAAGCTTTCCTAAGACGTTGTGATTATATATTATATTGTAATCAGATATTATAAGTTTGTTCACCAAGTATTCTATTGAATTTTCGGCGTACTTTTTGTTCTTTGATTGACTTAATACCAGATATATCTCCCAACCTAAAATATTTACAAGAAATATAAGTATTATTTACAAGTTCAAAACTAACATTTACAAAATGTACACTTAATACATATTTTTATAAATTAAATGAGCATTTAATTTAATAAAATATCATTCTCTAAAATTAAATCACTAAAAAAATCGCCAGTCAAAGAACAAATTTTCACCACCCGAAACTGTTCATTTAAAAGTTCCTTCAACGCACATTGTAAAAATTCGGTGCTGCTCGTCGCTGTGCCAACATAATTCTGTTGGCTACGCATCTGTAACAGCACACGTATGCTAAACATCACTTAAACAGTATCCTTCTAAACGCTCTTCTAAAATCCTTGTTGAATATTGTGTATATGACAGGGTTCAGCACAGAGTTCATGTATCCCAGCCAAAATGCTATAGCGAAAGCACTAGCCGGTATTACGCAAAATCTGCAAGCAGCCTTAAGAATATACAGGAAGAAAAATGGCAGCCAGCAAGCGATAAAACTGCCCATAATTAAACCTAAGATTAAAGTTGCTCTCTTCTCCTTTTTTCTGGCTATTCTTTTCTTTTCCCTCTCTGGGTCTCTTGGTTTATGCGGCTTTGGAAGCGCAGGCTCTAATTCTGATTTACTTGGTTGGGATTTTTCTTGTCTTCTATCGGTCTTTTTGAAGATTCTAAGTTTTAAAGGTTTGACTCCACCACATCGGCTGACAACCCCAGAGTCTGATGACGATGGTTCCATTTCTGAGACCATGTCGGTATCGATAGCGACGCTGGGCGCTCTGCCCCTCGTCTGTTGTAGTTGCAGCTCTCCATTCACCGAGAGTGATGAACTCCGCAATGGACAGGATGCCAAAGGATTTTTTGTTACTTGCGCCGATGTCACTACCTGGATTAAAAACCAAAAAAAAAACACAAGTTAGGTAAGATTTGTTTAAAAATTTTAAGGATTGGATTTGTAACATTCTTTTCAAGTTATTAAATTGTGATAAGGATGTTATAGATGTCTTTAAAAACTGTTTCCAGATCTCTTCTATTGGGTACACTACGACATACTGTATTAGTTCGATCGACACACCGGGGTTTTTAATTTGGTGGCCAGCCAAAAGACCCCGATGTGTTTCCACACGTACCAAGAAAATTATGTTTCTGTTTTCAACTTAATATTTCTTCCATAATAATTATGTATTTTAAGAATTATCCTATTGTTGCGGTGACATTGTCAGAGTTAAATTATTTCAGTTAAAAGCAATTTTCTGTAAATTTTATTTAATACAGGACTTAGATTTGGGAATGGTTTTTTTTGGCATAAATTTTTGTGAGATACTCGATCCTATGTTACTCGATATCTCATATATTTACTAAAATAATAGCATATTTCTTGAGGTCATATTTACCACTTTGAGCGTGTCTTTCCGTTCGTCCGGTGGTGGTGGAATAGTGTCTCCAGCCTCACTGGTGGATATGTCTGAGGCCAACTCGCACGTGACTGTCGGGATCTGCACTTGGGGTGTCTCTATTGTTGATATTTGGCTTTCACTGGAAGGAGATACATTAAGTATAGTTTTGATGTTTATATTGAAATTATAAGAGTACCTACTAATTAAATGGCGGTTTCGCAGACCTAAAGTTTTTTTTATGGTCGAGGGAGCGAACGAGCAAAACCTGATGGTGAGTGACTACCAACGAGTATGGACACGTGTAATTCAAAAGAAATAGATACGTTGCCATTCTTTGACTGCTCCCCTCTCCATGGAATTAAGGGGTTAACCTAACTCAGTCGGTGAAAAGCGATAAAAGAATTTCAAGTCGACCCAAGTGTACCGAAGCAATGAATAAATAAAAGGCAGAGAAAAAAACTCTTTGTTTATATGTAAAATAACATTTAACTCCATTATTCATCATCATTATCATCAACAGCCTTTCATAGTCCACTGCTAGACATAAGCCTCTCCTCAGATAGGAGGTTTTGGCTCACTATACAACTCCGGGCCAGATGGGTTGGTATAAGGTTTATTTCAAGTTTTCCGTCCCTTTGCAGTGCTGTTGTCCTGGATGAATAGGGGTGGTGACCTTTCGTATTCTTAATCCATCACCACCATTATTCATATTCGTTTAAATATGAAACCAAGCTTATTTAATCTGGCATATTCTAATTAATCTATTTAACACAGAAATGGTATAAATATTAAAATTTATATAAAAATAAATCAGATCTCAAAAAGGGTTGCCAGATACTTTAAAAATAGAAGGGGTTTCTCTGATTCTGGAGGGAGGACTCAAATGGTGGCACACTAGTGACTCTTGATTTGCAAATGTCCATGGACGACGGTGGTTACTTACCATCAGGGGATCTGTCTGCCCGTTTGCCACCCAAACCCAAAATTTATATTTGTATTACAGTAACACCAATTAACAACCATTCCTATTGCGTACATATTTATCTACAATGTATTGCACTTTTAGCAAACACAAAATAACAAAGATCATTTCACGTTTTAGCCGTCGTCGTTTTCGTTACGTAGAATTCTAAAGAAATTCCTGTGAAGATGAAAATGCGGGACTTTTCTTTTTCAGCGATGGTATTCCAAAAATTACTTGTTGAACAGATCTCAGGGCCGTTTTCTGAATTCCGATACTAATACGAACCGATCCTTTCATATTCCGTCTCGTTCGAATACAGGATAGATTTCATTTGATAAAAGATTTGAATCTAGAAATTAAGTCTCCTGGATGTTGCCCTAAATTTGTCTAAAGGGATGTTTTTCTAGTTGTGATAAGACCGGTATTACGAAAAAAAGCAGTTAAACAAAAATATCCGTTATCTACATTACTAAAATGGACTACAGTCGAAAGACTACTTGATTGGAGACCATGAGCAAACATCCGTGATAGAGGAAGACTACCAAAAAGATGAATTGATGACAACAGGGGACGATGGCGGTTTCACCGGCATCGGGATCGGGAGATTTGGGAGTTAGGGGAGGTGGCAAACTAGAGGCTGATATGTTTTCTTTTTATTTTATTTTTTATAAGGCAACTCCTGCATTAGGAATACTTCAAACATACATGAAATGGACACAAAGAACACCCAGACTCAGAACAACAATTTATGGATCACACAAAGTGTCGTCCCATGTGGGGTTCGAACCCACAACACTCGGCGCAGTTGGATGTGGCGTGGCGACCGCTTAAACCACTACGCCATCCGTGAATCTGTGATGATGACGTGCATGTTTATAAAATTGATGAATGTTAAAGAGGTGCAAGGAGTATATCAGGATCGAGGCAAACTGCTTTGAATCGTCTCTACCTACCCTGGACGGGCATAAGGTGTATATATATATATACACATATTACATATGTTTACATAGCCTTGTAATAACTTAATATAACACGTTTAAATTGAAGCGTCAGTGAGCGTCAAATCTTGAAAAAACATTTGAAGGAAGATTTTTTTAAGAAACAAAAATTGTTCATTAATAAAATTATACTGAATAATAAGTTACATAAGGTTTCAAATGGAAAAGCAGAATTAATAGATACGTACCCATTATTATTACTACTAAGATGTCCCTGAGGCATGGGATGGGTCGTTGGCATCGGTCGAGTGCCTCTGGGCGGGTTGCTGAAGCTCGTCTGTTGTTCATTCTGATGACAAAATAAGCAGATTCAAATCTACTCTTACCGTGATTCAAGTATTAAGGATGAGAATGTGTACTCTCTTACTGACTGGTTTTATATGGAAATAGGACATAATTGTGTCTAGAAGATGAATCATCAATTAGATTATGCTACAGACATGAAATAGTCTTTGGGTTTATAGATGAAGACATAAATATAGTTTCTTCTAAATGAATTACACTTTCATTTTCAATTTTTGTTAAAAAGAAAACGCCCACACTAGGAATATATCCTGTGTCGCGGAGGACTTTGCAGACATATATGAAATGAACACAAAGACTACCCAGATTCAAAATAAGAATTTGTGGATCACAAAAAGTGTTGTCCCATGTGGGGATCGAACTACACACTCAGCGCAGTGAGAAGCGGCGCCATCCGTGCAGTCATTATTAACTAATTCAATTAGTTGGAATTATAATTAATTTGTTACCTCTCTGACTGTTCCCAAAACTGTTGTGTTGATTTATCGGGAAAGGCATTAAATTTTGTTAACCAATATCTACATACAATTTTCATAATGTTTTTACATTTTTATTGGACCGCTTTACTTAAAGTAGTGCAATAACGGATAAAGCGATGGAAAAAAATCTTATAACTGTATTTTAAAAAAGATGGGCACAGAGCATAATTGCATATAATATAATACCAATAACAGCTACATGATTACTTACTGGTCTAGGCCGAGGGTTTTTCCGTATGCCTCTTCTAGCCCGCGCTTTAGCTGCGAAGTATATCCTGATATAGACGAACACCATGATGCAGGACGGTATGTAGAAGCTCCCCAGTGCCGAGTATATCACGTATCCGATGTCATCGGAAACCTGCCGGCAAGAGGAAATAACAAATAAGCAAAACTCCATTCATACTTAGAGTTCAAGAGAAAAAAATATGCGAAGAGGAACTGACTGAGATTTTTGTCCCAACAAATTTCCGATGATTGATGATTCCCAAAAGATTGGTTTCCCGCCTAATCTTGACTGCCAATGCGTTAAGAAGGTATCATCATAATCATCATCATAAGAAGTTATACTTAATAATTAATACAAATAATATCTTGTCACTTCCAACATAAGGTCATTTGATTCTAAACTAGGCAGGTCCAGACTGCAGAAGAAATAATCGCGCTCATCATATAATTGTATGGCCTGGCTGGGAATCGAATACACGATCTCAGTTAGACTTAACAGTCAAGTACTGTAACCATTACACCAACCACCACCAATAGCTAGTCATGGTAAATTAATTATTTTTTACTGCTTTTTGAAAAACAGCATTGACTCCTATATAGATAGATACTGCCTGAAAGCGAAACAATGGAACTGCAAAATTTCCGATTTATATAAAATAAATAAAATTCAATCTACTTTATAAAATCGCATTTACTTGTGAAATAAATAAAACCATTATTCATCTGGGCTGATTGGTTTTCGGGATTAAGATTTCGAGGGAATATTTTAATATCAGTTCAGCTTAAATTCGTTTCCAGGCAATTAAAATGCTACTCATGTAATGAACTACGAGTATACATGAACTCCACTTTTTAATTAGTAATACTCATAATGATAAATATATGTATGTACACATCTACTAGGCGTTCATCGTAGTTGCAACTGGTCCAAGTCCGTAAAATTTTAAAATACCACACAAAATTCTAAACCTCACGTTTCATGATATGTACTTCATACATACGTAGTCAGTCTGACTGCAGCGAGGACAACCTGGTCGAAAGAAATAAACCTAAAGAAAATTGGTTGAGAATCTGATGAAAAAGTTACCAAACTATTTGGTTTCAGCTTCAGGTCAGGGGGTTGGTCACTGCCAGAAACGAAAATTAAAATTCTGTTAATAGGATCACTAATAAAGTTCACAGGATCATCTGCTGGGTTGTAATCTAAAGATGTACGTATATTTACGATATCATCTAAATCTTTTCGGTCGTTTTGGGTACCATAGATATACAACATAAATTTTAAGTAGATATACATTTAATCATGTTTATGGGTTATTAATATAAAATAGAAATACTGACAAGTATAGCGTTACGAGCTCATGCCAACAGAAATGTTATAGAATTTTCTATTCTTAGCTTCAACCCTCACAATTCATATTTTGCAACATTCTTTTCAAAGAAATTTAATCTCTATCTATTGTGTTTCTACAATAGGTTCTAAAATATTGGCTCAAAAAGATCTCGCATGAAAAGTGGACCGCGTTACTGTGCTCGATTGGATGCAATATTAATGGCGCCTTTTGTTGTCCATTTCTTCTCGTAATCCTATTGTTTTGAGCTTAATCAAATTTTTCAGACTTTACAAGTTTAAAGCAGTTGTTTATGTATTCGGATGAGTAGAATCTTCTTAAGTTATTATAGTTAAACCTATGATAGTCAGGTTTGGCTATCCCTGCCAGTCCAGTATACAGTAGTTCGGCGTGTGGTTTTAGGTCTGAAATTAAGCATTACAGACTGAGCCAGTAAGGTGCCGTGTCTGAGATATGTGAAGTTGCTATTATTATTACATGTCCCAGGATATTATTATAATACTAGATTTTGCTAGCAATATTTTCATTCAATATTATATAGCTCCGCCCGCGTGTATGTCATCACGGTAAAAAGTAGTCTATGTTACTCGCTGATAATTTAGCATTTGTGAAAGAACTTTTAAAGTCAGTTTTAGTGGTTTAGTAGTGGTTTAGTTGGTAGGCGTGAAAATTTAACAAATAAACAAACTCACTTTTACATTTAAAATGTAAGTATGGTTATGTTAATTTTCAAGAAAGATAATTATCATTTAGAGATAAATTATTTTATTCATCATCATCAACAGCCTATACTAGTCCACTGCTGGACATAGGCCTCTCCTTAGAAAGGAGGTTTTGGCCTACTATACCACGCTGGCCAGACGGGTTGGCATAGGGTTTGTTTCAAGTTTTCCTTCTCTTTGCAGTGCTGTTGTCCTGCTTAGTTTGCTCCCTTAGTCGGCTCTTACGACACCCACGGGATGAATTGGGTGGTGAATTATTTTATTACTGTCTATTTATTCACAAGTATTAAGCTGAACTCTATGAATTAAAATCTGTGTACGAGTATGACGCGTAGGTAGTTCTTTCCATCTTCAGCATCTTGTAGGACCGGAGGATTTATTATCTGCCATGTTGGATTCAGTGGTTCGAAAAGCAACCTATCCTAGCCGATATACTCTCACTATATGGACTCAGTTAGTGTTGGATTCTTGGATTGACGACTGGATGGCGTAGTAGTTTGTGTAACGGACTGCTATTCCAAAGGTCGCGGGTTCGATTCCCGCTCAAGTCAAACATTTGTGTGCATGAACATTTGATGTTTGATTTGGTCTGGGTGTTTCTATGTATAATATGTATGTACTTACAAAAAAAAAAGTATATATGTATTTACATCAGTTGTCTAGTACCCATAGTACAAGCTCTGCTTAGTTTGGGACTAGATGGCGTTGTGTGAATGTGGTAGAATATTATATTATATTATATTCTATTGTATTCTTCTAATATCATAGAAAAGCATAATGATAGAATAATGTGTCGAGGTGTAGCCTTGGAAGGCTTGCAAAGGGAGAAAATTGCTCGACACCAGCTGAGTTTCAAAAAATCTGTTACAGTATAGTTATCAGGACTTTAGTTTGGTAATAATGTAAACGTATGACGAATCGTAAAAAAATTGCATCCACCTGTTGGCCATTATGCACATACTAATAATAACATTATTAGTAATAATATTTCGGGAGTGTAAAATGCTCGCTGTCACACACTAGCTCAATAAACTCTAGCTTTTTGTTTTAGTTGTTCTCTAGTATGACATAAATGATCTCAGACATACATTTTTTGTACATGTTCTACAACAAAGAGTTTATCTTGTGGCGGCTCCCATAAAAAAACCAAGACATACCGAACTACGAAGTAACTAATCCTGTATCTCGCAATAAAAGTTCTGGCGCCGATTCGTATATCTACAAGTTTCGAACATCAACCGTTGACCCGCTGTTCACCAGGCATGAAAATCTCTCCTGGCCCTTGAGGTCTTTTATGAGGGCTAAACTATATTTTGCAAAGGGCATACCAAACACCCTTTCCTTCATTACCTAAACGAGAGGTACTTTCGAAATTTTACTACCTTGTTGAACTTTAACTAAATTCAGTTTATCTTTACGCATTTATAAAGTAACCTGTGGCATTCCACCATTAAAAAATATGCCATGGTCCACTTTCTTTTTAATCTTTTTACGTCACACAATTTCTTAAATCTCATTTCCGTTCTCAGCAAGACGTTTTAATTTCAATAATTTTCATTGTAAAGAGCTTTCTCGCTCTTTGAATTTCCCTTTAGTTTAAAACTTAAAAATTCCTCTACGTTTGAAACTGAAAAATGTTATTTGGCTTTATAAATTAAGCTTATACTCCCACGAATTTTCCCGACAATATTAGGATACTGAGAAGATTGACTAGGTAAAAATTAAAAAAAAGAACAGAATGTGTTGTAACAATTTTTTTTTTTGAATAGGTGATTTTCACACGCTTATTTTATCAATCATACAATCCTATTGCTGTCCGCTCTTAAATATTAATATATCCCAATGTACGCCATAGGTCTCAAAAGGGGCCTTGTTGTAGCTTCTACACTTTGGCTAGACTGGTTGGTAAAGGTATTTATTTCGAGTTTTTCTTCTCTTGCGGTGATATTACCTGGCTGATATGCTCCCTTAAAAGTGGACTTTTGTGAGTGGAGGTTTAAATTCTGGTTTTCTTTTTGTGTAACGTTAAGTCTCAGATTTTTTTGAGAACTTGAATGTTGTGCGCGTGAGTAGTATATTTATAGCCTGTGAGTACTACACTTAGAAGTTGTATTGGAGTATGGTTGGTGTAAGTGGTAGGTAGAAGGTTTTAGGCACACTACCCAACCGCAAACCCTGGTGGGGTGATGGACCGAGACGGTTTCCACACGTACGAAAAATAATTGGTGGGTAGAGGATTGATGTAGCAGGTTTGTTTGTGTGCGACCAGCCTGGTAGGCGATTAGATAGAGAGGGAGGGATGCGTCTGAGCAAATGTAATAAAGTATATGACTACAAATGTAATAACAGGCGGTAGTTAACGTTAAGTGTCAATATGCTTGACAGATGAGAAGGAGGCTAAAGAATCTGGTGGCTTACCATCAGATGGTGTCTATTTCTTTGTAGGAGTCATCATCATCATCAACAGCCTTTAATAGTCCACTGCTGGACATAGGCATCCCCTTAGAAAGGAGGTTTTGGCCTACTATACCACGCTGGCCAGACGAGTTGGTATAGGGTTTGTTTCAAGTTTTCCTTCTCTCTGCAGTGTTGTTGTCCTGCGTAGTTTTCTCCCTTAGTCGCCTCTTACGACACCCACGGGATGGATAGGGGTGGTGACACTCTGTATTCTTAATCCGTCACCACACGGACTTTGTAGGAGTAATAAAAGTAAATTAGTCTAAAGTTGTGCACACAAAGCCATCAGACTCAGATCTTTCTAAATCCAGGACAATGTTCAACGCACCCTTTATTCTCCTTAAAATAACTTTTGTTTAGGCTCTTAACATTTTTTCCTCCAAATAGGAAATTACAGAGCTCCAAACGATTTCATTATACGACCAAAAGACAAAAGTCGTTTTGCAAACGGAAGAACGACAGTTACACTCGATAAGTGTACTTACATACAATGGAATACCATCTCAATGCTTTTAACCAAACGGTCCAATTTCTAACTAAATTTCTGTGATTACATTTGTGTAAGAGCGTTTGGTGTGGGGTCTGATTCGAGGCGAGATGTTTGGCACAGGTAAACAATTACATCAAGCATGAACTATGAGGATTATTACAATAATAATATAATAAATATTAAATGGTTAAATTTGTTTGTGTACGCTTAAAAAACTCAAAAAGTTTTGCACCGATTGAGCTCAAGATTTTGAATCAAAGATTGTTTTTATCTATTTTTGTTTTGTTTCTCATCAATGCAACCATAATGTTTCATAGCGAAGCGTGGCGGGGTACAGCTAGTAATCTATAAATAATATAATAAGTGTAAGTAATGTTTTATTTTATTTAATTAGCAACTATTGTCTAACCGTGGAACGCTTTGCCACAGATATGACGGCTCGATCGGTATGATACCACGGCCTCTAAAAAACCAGCGGTAAGCTTTTCTTTCGTTGCTTTTAACTGAGCGAGTGGGATTACAGGATCTGACCCCCCCTCCCCACTCTCAGATTGTACGGTGACCGTGAATTAAAACTTAAACCGCTTAGTTAAAATAGTTCCAAACTCTTAAAAATCAGAAGGCATTAAAATACATTTACACATTACAGACATTTAAACTGAATCAAAAGAAAATATTTCTCGCTAAGAATGTAAACCCTAAATATTACAAATATAAAATTATAATGAACATTTCCCGTTTGTAAATGATTACATAATAAACTTCTAACTTAGTGTAAAAATGTCTTTGATCTTTTCAAATTATAAGGAAAGAAATAAAAGAATAAAAGTGCAAACAATGAAAAAATTCAACCGGAAAATGTGAACGAGGAAGATTAGGCGAAGTTTTATTATTCCCTTAAAATATCCTTAAATTATACTGTAAGCTGTTTACGATCGCATATTTCTAGTTATTGTCAATTTTCGATCACTTGAGCTCATAAGTGTTTCTATATTTTTTTTCAATTTATTGGGTAAACAAACAATATCACAATAAGAAACGGGTACAATACTTACAAAACACTACGTTTTAAGCTATACATTATTGCTAATAGTGACATCCATACCGTTTACCACGAGTGAACACACTATGTTTAGCAGGTTGCGAGTATTTTAGACATATGTACGAGTACATTTCTCAATATTAAGTGTAATAGACATAATGTCATGCAGTTCCTTAATTTCTAGGTTTATGTAAACGCTCACACTATTTTCAAAAATATCAATTTGACTAAAGT